TTAAGACACAATAATACTGTTATTCCTGCACAGCAGTAATAATTGTTCCACCTTCAAAAGACAGTATATTCTCCTATTTACAACCTCATCAACATCTGAGTTGCTATACTCAAAGTTGTTCTATTAATCAATCTCTCAGCAGTTATTGAATCTCTAGTATGAACTTAATGCTAGCAGTCATAACAAGAGTTTCAAACCAGAAGGAGATAATTTGTTCAGAGATTACAAATAAAACAATGAGCAATGTAAAGTAGCTGTTGGAGATAAATAGAAGAAGGTACTACTTAAGCACTAAATCATATGATGCAGATTATACTCTACAAAATTCCAGAGAAAGGGCCACAGTGGTTAGGACAGGCTGTATCAAGGCATAGTTTATCAATGCTTATCTTCAGCTTTATTGTGGTTGTTATTATTATTTACTTGCAATTGGTTTAGTATTGTTTCCTATTTATGTGGTCATTTTTGTTCATCCCAAATAGGGAAGAAGTAGTAATAAAATTAGATGTCATTTTTAAAAATTAATAATACTAAATAAGAAATCAATTCAGGATAAAAACTGAACAACATATTGTACCACAGATGTGATATATACCACTGTATTCTCTTCCAAATTAGACCATTCATACTTGTGTTTGTCTTTAGTTATTCACACTTAATTATTAATATTCTGTCTCACAAATGCCTGCTGCCCTATTTGATTCCATATTTCTGCTTTGTGATTAATATGCTGCTTTCCTGAGGGAAAAAGTGTCACCTATAAGCCACTTTCTATTGTAACCATCCACAGTGTTTGGGTAATGAGCCCTTGTTTTGTACACAAGACTTGTCTGCAACAATTCCAATTCCAGTTTCTTATAGAAAGTGAATGAAAATAGATGTGAAAAAAGTACCAATATTTCCTTATGACAATGTTGTCATAAGGAAACTCCCTGTAAGAAACAAATTGATGATTTAATATTCTCTTATATACTGGTTGCATTAAGATGTAAACCTTTTCCATTTTCTATAATTCATAACAATGTTTACATTAATAATGATATTCTCCCAGAGGAATATTATTTTTTTAATGTGATTATAAATACCCTCTTGGCAGACCTTGGATAAGCAGTGTGTGCTGTTTTAAATGACAACATAGTATCAATTATACACAATATAAAGCAGGAAGAGAGATTGGATGACTTCCAAATGTGTCATTCAAGTGAGAATATATTTGTGAATTTAATTGTCGTGTTAAGCCTATTAAATAACAATTATTAACATGCTTCCATTTTATCCTTTTCTGTAAAATATTTAAGTTTATGTTATATGCCTATAGTTGAAAATGTGTGAACTTTTTTCATCTTTATTAAAGCGCCCTGTAGACAAATTTCTGCTAAAGTAAAACTTCAGGTTCTTTTTTCTCCTTCTGAGGTAAACTCCAAAACCAGAAGATTTCCTTTTAATTGGCTCCACGGCTCTGCTTTAGGCTTTTCATGTCTCTGAATTTCTTGTGAACATAGAATATTTGTGTGTGTAGGAGCCAAAAAATAGAAAAAAGGAAAGACATTTTCCTGCAGGTGGAGACAAAGGGGAAGGGAGATATTACAGTTGCAACACCTTTCCTTTTGCCAAATACCAAGTAGTATGGAAACAGTTTAATGGGGTGATTAAAAAGTGCCAAATTGATTTTATTTTGTATGAATTAGATCTCTGTTTAGCAGAGAAGCAATACTTTTTCACATGCCACGTGATAGCTTTAACAATTATCCCCTTGCATTTAAGGATAATGAGAAAGGAAATTTACAAAGAGCCTGGAATTGGAGGGAAACTCAGGTAGTTTTCAAGATATTATTCTGCATCTACTCTTTAAAGATTTTTGAAGCTTTGAAGATTGTTTGTTAGAGATAATCATGATGACAACATGAGGACTATAAAAGTAGATGTAACATGTGGTACTGAGGGCTAATGGTATGCCAGGTACTGTGCTAAGTTCTAGGCATGAATCATCTTATGTATTTCTCACAAAGCCTTGTATGGTGGGTTATAACCTCTTCAAGTCAGAAATTAGAAAATTGAACCTAGGAAAATTGTAGAATTTTCTCAAATGGCTATATATTGTCTCCAGGACTTAGCGAGAATAGCAAATATGTTTTTAAACACAGAGGGTCCTGGTCACTTCGGTTTAATTTAATTTTTTCTTGTTCTTCACTCTGTTGTCTAAGTGCTACAATTCAAAACAAATGCATAATCGCTGTTTCTCTTATAATTTAAATATGACATATACACCTAAACCTTGTGAATATGATTGCCAAAGAAAGCAGCTAATTGGCTAACAACATTTAGCTGCCTTTGTTGGTTTGGAGAGTGAAAGGAATCTGGCATGGAAACCACAAGCAGAGTTGACTGTGATCTCATACTTGAAAGCACAAATGGTTTATCACCAAAATCGTTGAGAGTCTTGGATATGGTTGACTTTTAAATTTCTGAGTATCCATCAAGCTGACTGTAAGACCTGATAAAATATCATCCAGTTCCATGATCAGATTTTTAAGTGTAAATTGTATTCTTAATGGTTAGAATGACAGCAAATTGAGATGAAAGAGAACATAGAGTAAATTTATCTCTGAAGTTGTTGGTGGGTCTTAAGGTTGTTTAGAATGAAAACAACAGATTCTAGGAGTCTGGGAATTGATTTAGCAATTAACTATGCCAGCTGCTCTCTGTCAATAACCTTTTTAGTAGAATCCTAAAGTCAAACAACCAGAAAAGATGGGAGACAGGAGGCATTATTTATTTTCCATGTTTAGGTAGTTTACAAAAATGTCAAGCCTCCTACCTCTTAAGAAGCAAATTTGTTACTCTGTTTATAAATTATTTTAATATGTTTTGTAAATGTAATGATTTCACCTCTGGGAACCATTTTTCTTCTTATTTCTTCACCTTTCTGTTTGCCACTCACATTCCCAAAAATCAATAAGTAGATGTGACTTGATTTTCAGTCTGTTACTGAGTCACTAGTATGTGTTGGATCTCTGAAAAGCAATACTGAATATGAAAGCTGAACTATTACATTTTAACTTGAGAGGCTATGACATATTCAATGTACCCATTTTCAGGAATATGCATTGTGAAAACTTGGTTAGTAAAGGATAGCATTATGAGAACTGGTATCTCTTCTGTATTCATAGCACGGATCAATTAAATTAAATGAATAAAGTTATGATTTACTCATTAGTGAGCCAGTATGTTAACATGTGAGAGGGGAAGGGCATGCAGAGGGATATAAATGAAGCCTGAGATTTGAGCTTGAAATTTGACTTAAAGTTTTCTGTTTTTTCTTGAAAGTCATTTTAAAAATTATATTTAATTATGGACCTAAACACTTTATACATAAGTCTAATATTTTAAGTATTTGCCTGGAAGAAAAATGGATTTCTAATGAAATGAATGATATTTATTAAATAGCCACTTCTGCCATTCGGCAACTCAGAGAATAGGCATCTCCATTTTGATAAAAGATGTTAAATATTTTTGACATTATAAAACAATTATCTCAGAAATTTGAGGTCATTCTAACTTTGAATATTGAATTGTCATAACTGATGGCTGAAAACATGTGTTCTTTGCATTTTAAGTTATCCTCAAATAACACAAGTGTTAAAATGCCCATCAATAATACCTTCCTACTGTAATATGGAATATTACATTTCAGTTGTTTTCTTTATTATTCTAAAATTATAAACTAGAATTCTAAAATATAATATGGCAATATAATATCTGCCTGTAATTAACTGAAATTGTTTTGCACATTTTCTAAAATTTTATCTTACGTTTTGTTCATTCCCTTCCCTCTATGCTCTTTTGAGATACCTGCAAATGCAAGCTCAAAGACAGGATACTGTTGTATAGGAGCGCTGCAATGGAAATCTGAATACTTGGGTTCTAGTTGTAAGTCAGTTGGATGAATTTGGCGAGTCATCCATCTTCTTTGGTTTCAATGTTCTCAGTGAACTCTAAGGCATCTTCTGGCACTAAAACACTCTTCAATTTTCATATGCAAGTGCGGAATTCATTAGGCTAAAAGATACCACAATTGATAATTGACCTAGTCTTTTCACTTTCAGGGAGTTATAGATATTCAGAATATATTACAAGTGCTATATGTTAGTAGAGCTGTTTAAATAATGAAACTGTCCTTCCTCATCTTGGAGCTTTAGTTCACTTTTTCCCACTAACCATGGAAAAATGTGTAACTTTCTTTGAAAGATTAGTGTTCTCATCATAAATTAGTTAACCTCCCCCAGAAAGGAAATAAATACTTTGGTCTAGAACTATAAATGATTGGGGGCAAAACCCATAATTACATAAGTGAAAGCTTCATTGTATATATTTGGAACTATTTCACATTTTACCAAGAGCTCCAAAAATACTATAATTCAGTCTGTTCACATTAAAACACTCCAGAAGCAGTAAAACAGAGTGGCATTTAGCAATATTCATTTATTTACTCATTCTTTTAAGCAATCATTTTCACTATTAATAATGCTCTTTCCTTTATTAAACATGTATTTATTGCCTCAAATGGTCCAGATTTTAGCTTCAAGTTGTTTATTGTCTACTGAGAATTAAAAAAAAAAAAAAAACCAAACTTGTAAATAAACGAATGTATTGGGAACAAGGGAAGCAGAGAATAAAGCATACACTGGGTCCTCTGAGAGCATAAAGTGTTGTCAGGGGAATGGGTAGAGGGGAGTCCAAGAAGAGCTAAAAGAGCTAAGCTTTGAGGATTGACTAAAATTAGCCATGTTCTAGGCAGTTTTATCACTGAAAATTTGAAATCCCATATATTGAACATTTGATTGGATGATTCCATGGCAAGTTAGGACATTTGCATTCTAGATACATTAAATACATTATTATTTTTAATTGGGACTTCAATGCATGCACTTTGCCTTATTAATCTCCTTTCGTATCAGCTTTAGTCTTTGTACTAAAATGAAAACACAATTCATATTTACCTATTTATCTATATCGTCTGTCTTCACTATCTCCTCTTTCCCTTACGTATATGCAAATATGATTTTCTGTGCAGTTGTAACAGATATTGTTAAGATAACTAGAAGAAATTATTTTTTAAAAATGAACACTTAGTAATTCTGAATGTTTAAAAAATTTCCCAGTTGACAGTCTATCTAGAACTGCAGAAATTAGTCAGCTAATGTGGAGATTGGTCTTTAAGTATTGGGCCTCTTCTGCAGGATATATCAAGTCCATTCAATGTCTAACTAAGGTTAAACAGAAAATGACCATGTAAAAAAACTATGACTTTTTTTTTTTACCTTCAGAAATGAATACCTATAGATTTGTCAAGGGTTATGAGTCATTTATAGTAACAGGTAAAATAAGTGGCATTTATCTTGACTGTCCAGGTAGTTGATTAAATAGAAAAATAAAATAGGGTTAAAAAATTTTAATCTTATATTGGGGTTGTTCTCAATGCATGACCTTGGGGTTAGGCTATTTATCCTTCCAGAGACCTTTTTTGGTCTATTTTAAAAATTAGGGAGTTAGAATAGCCGATTTCAAAAGTCTTTTACATTCTTAAACTCTGTGATTCTAAACATCTGTTTTTGTTATACCCCAAACATCAGGTATTCTGTCATAAACAGGGTACAAGAATAAATGGAACAATGGTATAATCTGAATTACTCTTATTTCCTTTCTTTAGTTGGCTGTTCCACGGATAATTACTTCTACTTCATAAATTGGAGATGAGAATGAAAAAAAACACTAATATTACCTTTATCATTTTTAATCAAAAGAATGCATGAAATATGTATTTGGCTACTATTCTTGATTTCCATCAAAGTGAATATGCAAATATGTAATAGCACACGGAAATATATTAGAGAAGCTTTTAATCAGGAAGCAAAGAAACCATTCCAGTGGAAACATATTGGCCTGGAGGGTGCCCTTTGATCTAAGAAGTTTAAGCTTTTGGTGTCTTAAACACCTTATAGCAGGGTCACATAGCCAATTTTTGTTAAATAATCCATTTGTTTAAAACTTTTCTAAATTATGGAAAATCCCTTGAAAGTTAATTAACAGTAAGATATATATGTAGTATATACAAATATATTGTATTTGTATATACAAATATAAAATATATAATACATATGTATTATATATTTATTGCAGATTAATATGTATTAATTATATGTAATATGTGTTAATTATATATTAAAGGTATATTAACATATATTTATATGCATTTATATTTATGTATTTACATTAATATATATTTACATATTGCATATATAACATACAAATATGTGTATTATATATTTGTATATATAAATACAATAAGATGTAATATATATAATATATATATGTACAATAACAATAATATGTATTCTTGGGATAACCAAATAAGCCATCTCTGGCTTCTTCATTGGAGATCCAATCCAGCAAACTCAAAACTATATAATGCCAGAGGCAATAAAGACTAAGCAAATGAGTTCATAAGTAGCTGGGTGATTGGAAAATTTTCTGCCCTTATTTGGGCACTGTACTTATTTGTTCCCAGATACTCAAGTCAAATTTTAAAAGTCATTCTTGATTTACTTTTCTCACTTGCCACATCCAATTCATTAAGTCTTATTAGGTCTACTTTAAAATGTACTGTGAATTCATCCCCTTCTCCACAATTTCTGATTTTCATTGACCATACGTTTAAGGTCACCACCCATTGCTCTGAAAGGCATTGCTTATAACATTTCCCTGATAAATTTTTATAGGGTACTCTTCCTTTTTACTCATTTAGTTGCTTTTTTTTTTTTTTTCATCTCTGCCCACTGGAGTCTTAGCTCTATGAATCAGGGGATTTTTTTTCCTATATTGTTCACTGCTATAACTCCATGTCCTAGAAAAGGATCTGGTACTGAGTAGGCCTCAATAAGTATTTCTCCAATGCACCTATGTAGTCCAAGCCGGCACTTGGGTTATTTCAGTGGTCTCCAACTGATCTCCTGAGATATCTTATATCCTTTTCTTTATATTATTTTTGTTCCTATCATGCTAAAGCCTATGATGCTAAAGCCCATCATGCTAAAGCCCTTCAAAAGCAGCCTAAAATGTTCCATATGAGCTCATGTACTGTGCACAAAACTCCATGTAGTTTAATGGGGCCCTGCTCGTCCTTTACTATCCAGTTCAGCATAGTCTCTTTCTCCAGCCATTCTCTGCCTCACTGCTCTATTTTGCTTGCCATTCTGAAATCTGAAATATTGTCCTGCTTTTGTATCACCTGTCTCCTTCTATTGCTAATGTAAGTTCCATGATAGGGCCCTCTCTTCACCATTGTCCCTCAGTAATTACATTTGTACTATTATCTCCAACATCCCAGTTAACCCAGGTGTTATTATTCTTATTTTACCTTGAAACAATAGACCTAAGTTAGGTGATAATTGCCTGTTTCCTGTCTGTCCCCTCACAAGACCAAGTCTCTTCAAGGCACTTTTACATGTCTTGTCCATCATATACATTATTGTATCCTCAGTGGAAGACCTATATATATTGCATGATAACGACTCAAGAAATACACACTCATAGAAGAGAAAAAAAGAAATACACACTCAAAGATTTAATAAATAAATGAATAAGATTATAGACACCTGAAATGTCAGTCCCTAGACCTGTGCAACACACCATATCCAGAACTAAAGGCTTAGCATCATAAATTTTAAAAGTGCCTAATTTTAAAGATGAGCCTTTGTTATTAAGCCTTTGCCACTAACCGAAAGAGCAAATTATTAGTTGTAGAAAATTGAGAGACTGAAAAAAAACTGAGCTCATACTGTTCTGGAAGAGAACACGGCAGAAGTTGTACAACTTCTGAGAACACTTTTCTTCCTTCCTTCCTTCCTTCCTTCCTTCCTTCCTTCCTTCCTTCCATCCTTCCTTCCATCCTTCCTTCCTTCCTTCCTTCCATTTTCCCATTGAATCTCTGTCTCTCTATGCATCTGCCTTTTCTGTCTGTGCTTTCCATTCTATGCCTTTCTCTCTTGTTCTCTGGCTCTGGCTCTGGCTCACTGACTATCTTTGTTTTTCTATCCAGGCCTCTTTCACACTGCTGTATCTTTCATTGTGTAGGACTCTATGGTTGCCCTTGGTGTCGAGAAGCCCCTGGAGACAAGAAAAGAAATACAAAGTACAGTGGTGACATTTAGCAATACACAAATGTAATGTATAGAGATGTCTGTATTTGAAGTCAAAACCTCCTTTGCCTGCCCACCTCACATAAACTCCTCAACTTCTTCAGATTATTCCCAGATGGTGAGGTCTTTGTTTCATAGGCAAATTTGAATATCTGGGATTATATGAGTGCCAATTCAATTATTTTTAATAGATGTGGTTGGGAAAAGGAGTGGTTGGCACCCCATATCCCTAGGGTCTCCTCCTTTCATCTCTAAATGATCCAAAAGTACAAGGCAAAAGCAAATGATCATAAGGAAGTATGAAGGTCAAGGGGTCCCTATTAACATAGGACCTTAGCACAGTCACATGCCTCAGCCTAAAATATAAAACCATGTTTTCTTTTAATTTTAGTATTTGTTAAATTCCAACCTTTGAAAATATTCTACATCTTACGAAAGTAGTCTAGGAAACTTATACCAATACGTAAGTAATATTATTGTTTTAATAAATGACTATTATTTCCTTATTAAATTCACATCTTCCCACTTTACTTTTAGTCATAGATTTACAAATGCCTTCTGTGAACCTTCAAGAACAAACTGAGACAGCAATTTGTAATGATTTCACATATTGTGTGTTTTTAATGTAAATAAATTTTAACTCAATGGTTACTTGGAGGTTCTCATACCTTTCCAGTCCCACGATTTATTGCCATTCACTGTTTGCAGGCTTGGGGTCCTTCCAAAATGTTCAGAGTTCTCTGGATGTAACTCTTCATACCTCCAGGAAATTTCAAGGAGGGTCTATGAAATAAAATCGCAGCCAGGCCCAGTGGCTCATGCCTGTAATCCCAGCAGTTTGGGAGGCCAAGGCGGACAGATCATGAGGTCAGGAGTTTGTGACCAGCCTGACCAACATGGTGAAACCCCGCCTCTACTAAAAATACAAAAATTAGCTGGACGTGGTGGCATGCACCTGTAATCCCAGCTACTCAGGAGGCTGAGGCAGGAGAATTGCTTGAACCCAGGAGGTGGAGGTTGCAGTGAGCCAAGATCACGCCACTGTACTCCAGCCTGGGTGACAGAACAAGACTCTATCTCAAAAAGAATAATGATAAAATCTCTATTAGATGTTAGAGAAAAAAATAGTGCCAACATTTGTTACAAGATAGAGGGAGTAGGCTTCAGTTGTTCTGAAATGGTTTTTAATCAGAGAATTTCATTTATAAAGAAACTAGATACATTAAACTTTGGTGTAGTGAACTGTTTTTTCCTTCATGCAATCGAAACTCAGCTCATAGCCTCCTACCTTGACAAGATTCTGAGTAATCTCATTCATCATTTCTAGCCAAGTAAAGAAAACATCAGTAACTTAGATCATTAGAATGAACATACACTGTACACTATCCCCAAAAGAATTTGACTAAACCAAAAACAATCAAATTGACTTGTATGGGGAAAAACCCCCAACAATAAAATATTAGCAATCTGCAAACCTACCATTCAGGTACTATGGAACTAAGCCAGCCAGAATCACTCAAGGAACAGAAATGAAGCCAATTTACTGTGTTTGAATGTCAGAGGGATTTTCAAGTAATAGCTTGTAAAACGAAGGGCACCTTTAGAGTTCAAATGTAAATTTCAACAACCTAAATCCTTCCTTCAGAGGGTAACAATCTTCAGGAATTCCAAAAGGATATATTCCTGATAAAATTATAAGCTTCTTTTCTGCAAATGAATTCTGCTATTTCTGTCATGTTCAATTTTCTTTGTTTTTGTTTTCTTACTTCAAAAGTCAGCTTCAAATCTTCTTGTGTAATTAGATGGGATTTAAATTGTAAATACATTATTGGGAAAAGAATTAATATTTTGAGTACCTACCATGCACTGGGTGCCTCATCACTTAATCCCTATAACACCCCTACATCTATCCTCATTTTATAAACACCCCAACTGAAGTTTGGAGATGTTATGAGATTTTCAAATTTACACAGCTTCTAAGTGACGGATCTGAAGATATCACTTACACCCTTGTGACTCCTAAGCATGCAGTCTTTATACTAAGCAACTCTGCTTTTGTTGTAGAACTGGATTATAAATATAATGCTATATTTAATACATTATATTATAAATAAAATATATTTAATACAATTAATTGTGCATTATTGTATATATTATATGTATAATGTATTTTACATATAATGTATAATGTATTATACATATAAGTCATTATGTACTATTGTATATGTTTATGTATAATGTATTCTTCACCCTGCAAAACGATTTGTGATTTCGGTAAGATTCTCTGACATTGCTTACTATAGGAGTCAGGACCAAAGTCATGTGTCATGATCAAGTATGACCCATCTGATTTGTTTTGGTGTACTCTAACACAACAAAAACTTGTCCTGAGTTAGTAATTCCCTGCCAGGGCTAGTATCACTGTCACCATGGAGACAAGCAGCCAGCTGGCTTCTCTTTTCTTTTTTTTTTTTTTTCTGCTTGTGTTCCTACTTTCCCATTGTACCAATTGTGGTCCACTGCCTCACAACCATGCCATCAGCCATCTTAGAGAGCAGAATAAAAAGTGTATTATAGCTGTGGAGAATTTCTGATATCAACTGGATATGAATTTTATGCTGCAGAAGCACCAGTGTGTGTGTTTATATATATAGGCATCCAGGCTTTTTAAAATTATTTACCACATACCATCCACCTGGAATCCCTCTGTCTTCCCTATCCTTTCTTACCTGGCAGGCTCTTTTTAGGCTTTTCAGTTACTCTCTTTCAGGACTCTTTCTGCAATATTTCCTTTGTGTATTGATTTTCCTTCAACACACTATGATATAATGATCTGTCTAGAGGTCTGTTTCAGCCAGTATATTGGAAATTTCTTGAAGGCAAGGTTGGGGTTTAATAATTCTTCAATGCTTGTATATAATAAGTAAGAAATAAAG